GGCGCGGTGGGCGCCGCGTGCTGTCTGCTGCGATGGAATCCGTTGAGACCCGCCGTGCTGCTGGGCCTGGGCGGAAGGCAAAAGCCTAAGCTTTGTGCCGCCTGGCGCGTGCACAGGACACACCGCAGTCCAAGGCAGCGCGGCGGCCAGTGCTCCTTGCACGGCGTCGGGCCCGCCGCCGCGCCTGGGTCGCTGCCTCGCCCTCCCCCAATCACAGTCATGCCGTGGCTTGCTGATGCGAGCCTCCACACGCACCCTCAATCGCCTTGGCTGCAGCCTTGTTCTCGGCGACGGCAGCCGCGGCGAACACTGCGGGGGCGGCGCCGCGTGCATCAGCGAGAGCCGGTAGCGCATGCATTCAGCATGCATTCTCAGCTGAGCGACATGCGCTGGCTGCTAAGATCCAGGGCGCCGCAAAAAGATCCAAGGCACGCACGAGAGTGCGTGGCAGCGGCGCGCTATGACTGCCGCGCCTCACCCTTGACGCTGCGCGAGGCGCTGCGGCTCGTCTGTGCCCGCATGGCAGACTTGGCAAAGCGCATAGAGGCGGGCACGGCCGGCTTGGCCGCGGCCTGGCGCCCGCTGCACGAAGGCATCGTCTGGGCACGCATCATAGAGGCAGCCATTCTGATAATGCTGGCCGGGATTCGTCGAAGGTAATCCAAGCCGAATGTGGGATGGCGAGTGGCCAGTCCTGCTTTCCATCGATCGGGGAGTGTGTTGGCGACAATCTGGAACTCGAGGGACGCCCCTAATGTCGGCAACCAACGGAGCCCACAGCACTATCAGGGTTGTGTGTAGAACTTTACCACTTTGTCTCATGCGCATGGCAGAGTCATGCCGTCCAGGCGCGGTGTAGTCTTCGCCATCCGCCTGTGCGCTTTGACCTGTGCCGGCTCCCTTGCTGAGGCAGCATACGGACACCTTTCTCACTTATGCAACTTGAGTTCAAAGCTCTGCCTACAAACTGTGTGCATCCATTGCGCCGATGATTTCGCTTGGTTGATCTCAGACACGCAACCGCCTGGTGCTTGCCCTGCACAAGGCAATGGCAAAGTCGACATCTCATGAGCAGCTCTGCAAGCACTGCCAAGCCCTACCATCGCAGCATATTTGGCAACTTCTGGTCCCCAAATACGGCATATGCCTGAAAGTGTCTGCGTGCTAGAGCCTTTCATCCATTTCGCTGCCACCACTGGCACCCTTGCTGAACAAAGCAGTAATCGACCATTTACCCCAAGTCATCATTCATGTTCGCACACAACAGCTGCATCTACTGCTCTGCGGTCGTGATGGAGGCGGCGCCACTGGCGTCGCTGCTGCCGCCTGCTGGAGCAGTACCGCCACCACTCGCCACCTTGGTGCGCCCCCTCGCAGCTGCTAGGTCGGCAAAGTAGCGCGCTCCAAACTCGTACACGTTTTCTGGCTATTGTGAGTTGATGGGCGCGGTGTGCGCGTACGCACATTGCTTTGAGGGGATGTATGCGCCAAAGACGCGCAGGGGGTGCGCGACAAGTGCAGTCCTTGCAAGCAGCAATGCATGCAACACTCTGAACAACGAACTTGATACATGCAATGGTTTGATGTGCAGACCGCTGCATATATCATTGATGCTCCGCACAGCGCGCAATAGTGAAGCGCACCTGCGCTCTCAGCACTTCCCTCGCGAAGCCCTTGACGAGCTCTGGGAATCCCTCGGGGATCGTCAGAGCTTGCTGATACTTTGACGACATCGCGCGTTGTCCCACGATGGGTACCTTTGAGGGCGTTGACTCGTTTTGAAAGCCGCCTTGCTACAGTAAATGATCGAGCGCGTTCAACTTTAGACAGGTCTCGAGGCAATGAATCGTCAGCTCCATCAATTTCTTGGTCTTTCAGGGCAATCACATGCCACGCTGTCGCGCCTGCCCCACTGCCATGTGGATGCTGCAGTTTGTAACCCCAGCACTATTTGCTTGCTCATCAGAGAACACCGTTGGCTGCTTCATGGGTTTGGTATACTCCGATTTGCTGACCAGTATAGTGGGCCCAGTTACGCACCTGGAAATCATCTGGGAAGAAGCCTGTCGGTGCGCTATTGCAAGCCGCTCAATTTTTCCGCGCCGAGATGTACAGCGTATGGCACATGCAGCATGCCCTGAGTTTCTAGTTCACGAATGACAAGGGTCCAACAACCTATGTGCAAGCTTGAAAGTGAACCAGGGACCGCCCAGCTCACTAGCCAGCCAAACTGCTGGCGCCGCTGCAGTGCTGTCCATTCCTCAATACTTCGACGCCCCGTGACTGGCAGCTTGTCGCGATGTGAGTGCAGCAACTGGGGCTGAGACAAACGAAGTGACGGCTTCATCCATGCCGTGCGCGATAGTCGTCACCGGTCTACAAGAACATGGGCCCCGCACAGGCACCGCCCCCAGGCTTGCGCAAGCTACGCAGCGCGCTCTGAGTGACGCAGCCGCACGCCCTAACCACATCGGTGCCGTAGGATATGCAGTATGGCGGGGAGGAGCTGGGATGCAGCAGCTCCGAAGCAGTGCGACGCAGCGGGTGTCCTCAGGCCCCCTCCACTTCAGCCTGCTGGTGTGGCTGCCCTCTCGCAGGACGAGGAGCGCAGCGCACAACCACGCCGCCGCTAAGCGAGCGAGTGATCACGGGTGGCGGTACTGAAACTCGCTGGCTACTGAATGAAGGGATGCACACAACCATGCCAACTACTGCAGCTGCACCCGGTGATGCGAGGGCGCGCTGCACACACACTGCTTAGTAGTGCGTGGCTCTGGCTGGACCAGGCCTTGAGATTTGCCGCACACCCGGGACAGGTGGACGGGCGACACACCGATTACGCGGTGGAAAAGAAGCTTTAAGACTCACTTATAATCGTTCTGGTACAGCGCGCCCATCCTGACTCGCCCCTCGCGCTTTGGCCCTAGTGAGCAACCCCTTGATCGACAGCCTTCTGGGTTACACCTCAGGCCTAACGTCAAAAACAAATTTGCACGACGCTGGGTGTCACAGCACGCCGTACGGGCGTGCGCCGGGCAGCACAAGCCCTGACGGGGCGATGCTGCGCAAGGCGCCATTGGGCCGCGTCGGGCAGCGACTGGTGCCCTGTGACAGGGCCGGTCCTGAAGTCGCGCCGCCGGTGGGGAACGAGTGCGAGCAGGAGCCCTGGCTATCAGACTGGGCCGTGCTGCCCAGCATCCCAGACGGGACAGCGCCCGGCGCCCTGAACAGACCCTCCCCCGCCGCGAGCAGCGGCGCGGGCGGCGCCGGCGGCGCCTTGCCAGCTGCGGCGGCCCCAGAAGACGCCGGCGGCCGCGACGGCGGCGGCGGGCGGCAGCAGGACGCAGCGCCCAGGCAGGCGGTGTCGCGGCTGGAGCGCCTGCAGCTGTCCACGACCAACCTGGCTGGCTCACTCAGGTTTGAAACTGCAAATGGCTTGGACGCTCTGTCGCTGCGCTGCATTGACTTGGCGCTAGAACATGCGTGGGTGCGCATGGCCCGTGCGCGCCGGTGGAGTCGCGTGCAGCGGCGCCGGTTTGAAGTGGGGACACCTTGACCAAGTCAACACCTGCTGACATGTGCGCTCGCAGGGCGGTGCTGTCAGGAACCCGGACGACCCAGCGGCGCGCGAGCCGCATCTTCCGGCACCTGGCCAGCGGCGATGCTGCTGCCGCGGCGGCGGCCGCCCTCACCCCCGCCCCCCAGCC